TACCTATACTGTAATCTAATACTGTAAAACTGCGAACATCGTCTGAAAATATATGACTTTACTCAAAATACAACTGAATGAAGTTTGACAATTTGGTAATTAATTATTACAACTTGGTACATGATGGTGGTATGTAATATTGTTGAAAACTGTGTTACAAAATATTATAGATCATATTTTGGAGCTGAGTTAAATTTTTGAAACTTGTATTTGTTGTAGACATAATTATAATATATAMTTTGTTTGKTTGTTTGATAGTTGGTACCTTTTGAAACTTTTCTACTTTTCCTTGAAACTTAGTTTTGTAATAACAGTTTAATTGAGTGGATTTATAAAGCTGATTTTATAAAAAAGCGTTGGAATTAGTTTATATAGTATGAATCTCAATTGATTTTAATTTAAAAATATATCATCAACTAACAAAGCCTTTATTATTGGATGTGTATATATATATATCTACATACAGATAGATAGATAGATAGATAGATAGATAGAGAGAGAGAGAGAGAGAGACTTTAAATTATAATTTAAATGAACGACGGTTCCTTTTACTTGGATAAATAGGTACTTATAAAGACGACATCAACTTTCATTAAAAAAATTCATTTTATTGCATCGATATTACTTGAATGAATATAGTTATACTTTTCAGTWAGTTTGTATCTACCTCAAGTTGATCTAATAGCCACTCTAATCTTAATTTGTCTATATACAATCTTTTTTGTTTAAATATTTAAGCTTCTTAAATTATAATTTTAAAACAGTTTCTTATTTTATTCGTAATTAATTTTAACTGTATAATATAATCATTTACGTAGCTTCTTAATTAATTTAATTTTAAATATTCGTATTTAAATTATATGTATTTATAATAAAAACGAAAACACTACGTTCATGACAAATTATAGATGTATTATTAACATCAATTTCTTCCTATTCAAACAATTATTTATGATTTTAACGTGATTAAAACGTGTTCTCTGATGTGGTCTTGTAATATAAAATTTCATATTATGTTTTATAATGAACAAATTAATGTTTTCTATTGAACTGTGATGACTTAACGTTTATAAAGTACAATACCTATGCAAGTTTCAATATCATCTGAATAAGTTAAATTATAATTTAATAATATTTATTTAAAACTAAAATATAACACTTACGTGATAGTGATCACTAACCATGTATAATAAATGTTTTCTGACAAAATGTATCATACGAGTATATTATTTAAAAACAATAAAAATACAAATTTATAGCAAAATAATAAAGAATATAAAAATGTTTTACAACTATCTATTAGAGTAATGATTGAAATTAGTTTTTAAATTATTTAAGGTATTAATAACAAATATTAAATGGTCATCATTCTTAAAAACTTTTATGTGCATAAAACTTTAACGATAGAAAATTAGAATATATCCTTATTAAAAGTAATAAAATAACCGATTACAAAGCTTTTGTTTTAAAATTAATTTTTCAATGGCATTATAATAGGAAAAATATGGTAATATAAAACAAAAATTTCATATATGTATGTATTTTAAGTATTTTATGTTTATACAAAATTAGAATGCCTTTTTTTTAAATATCAGTCTGACTGTAGCATGTAAGTGCATTATGCATTTATTCAAAATTATAATTTTCAAAGATGTTTAATGATTATGACAATCAGTAATCGTTATTAAGTATTCAATTTGAAGTTTTT